AGCAGGAGAATATTCAACATCCATCAGACAAATGAGGCTGCGGTCCCATTAGTCACACAGAGCCTTGGGCCAGCGCCAGCAGCTCCACGGGCAGCTGCTGGGCAGTGCATGCAGGGCTGTGTGTGCAGGGCAGGAAAGGGTGAGGACCCGAGCTTCAGTCCATGGTGCTCCTGGCCAGGCCTGGCTCATGCTCTGCCCTTGAGGCTCAGAAACGCAGCAACCGAGTCCTCCTTACAACAGATTCTGAGTGAGGGTTAGCAAAGAGAATGATGGAAACCTGGGTCAGCGTGGGAGTAGCACTGGTGCCAGAAAGAGTAAGACAGAGAGGCAGACCCTACATGCATTCCACACGCATGGGACTGCGTGAGCTCAGAGCACCACGGCCACCTGCCTCACCACCTGCCCAGGGGACAGACACCAACACCTCCCAGTGTCCACCCCTGGGGCCTGCTACCCCCTGAGCCACTACTGCCCACCTTTTTTAAAAAAATATTTATTTTTTTTATTGCAAAGTCAGATATACAGACAGGAGGAGAGACAGAGGGGGAAGATCTTCCACCCGATGATTCACTCCCCAAATGGCCGCAACAGCCGGTGCTGCGCCCATCCAAAACCAGGAGCCAGGAACTTCCTCCATTTCTCCCACACCAGTGCAGGGTCCCGAGGCTTTGGGCCGTCCTCAACAGCTTCCCCAGGCCACAAACAGGGAGCTGGATGGGAAGTGGAGCTGTTGGGATTAGAACCAGAGCCCATATGGGATCCCGGCATGTTCAAGGCGAGGACTTTAGCTGCTAGGCCACTGCACTGGGCCCCATACTGCTCATCTTCTCTCTTCGCCCCTCCAACAAGTTAGGGGCTGCAGCCTGGAGCTGGATCCTGGCTAAAGAGGGGAGGTCAGATGGCAAATGGACACACACAGCAGGTGCACTCAAAGCCAAATGAGCTACAGGCTGCGATCCACTGGGCTGGGATGTGGACACCCAGCTCCCAACTCTGTCTGCCAGGGAGGCACTGGCGTGCCTGGAGCTTTGGAAGAGAGCTGCTCCTTCAGTTCACGGCTGATTGGCTGCCGGCGTGGATGCCTTTGCACGTGAGCAGTGAGCACACACCACGAAGGCAGCTGTAGGTCCTCCTGCCGCACTGCCACCGCCCACAGGGCACTGTGCTCCAGTTCCCAGGTGAAGGGCTCCCCGAGACAGCCAGTGCACTAACTCCTAACTGGGGTTTATTCTTAAACAGCTTGTGCTGGTGGATGGGCCGAATAGGTCTCTGTGGGAACCACTGCCCCCTGGGTTCAGTGAGAGAATGGAACTAGGCCAGGCTTCTAAACGACCACCCTCTAGCAGAGCTTACAGACACCCTACACTCCTCTCTTGCAGGCCACGGCAGCTGTGTCCCAGTCTTTCCTGCACCCCACACACCCCAGGCCTCTGTGAGCTCCCCAGGCTCCCTGTGCCTGGGAGCTTATCAGCCCCGACTCTGCTCAAGGCAGGAGTGTTACCAAGGCCCCCCCCCAGATGCATCCCGCGATGGGCCTCACCTCAAAGCAGAGCCCAGGAGCCCACTGACCCCACGAGGCGTTTTCCTACCCACCCTCGCCTTTGCACTTCTCCCAATTCAGCATGACAGAAATCCAGAAGACACGCCAGCCAAACCAGTGGCAGCCCCTTTGAGGGGAAGGCTTGGCAGGGGGTGCACCAGCCACACTCAAAGCCCAGGAAATGCTACCTCTCTGCTGGGGGGTTGAAATGGCCACTCCCCTCTGCTGTGCAGCAGGGCCAGCTGCTTCCTGGGAGACTGTGTTCTCAGAGAGCCCAACCCTGTGCAGGTGTCAGCTGTTTGTCCCTCTTCAGAACTACTCACAGGGTCACCCCAAGTCAGAAGGAAAGGAGGCTGCTCCCTCTCCCCTGTCCCCCAGCAATCAGATGTCCACTCCATAGGCTGCCCTTCAATGCCGTCCTACCAAGGCCAGGCTACGGGCAGGGTAAGGACACGGAGCAGGCTCCTCTGCAGCCCCACAGGCAGTGGGAACTGCCCCGGCTGTGCTCAGGCAGCCGCTCCTTGAAGCACATTTCAGCGGTTTTCACCAGCCTGTCCTTGCTGGACTCTTTGAAAAGGTCAGACACAGGGGCAGATAAGAAATCTTCCATGTGCAGACTCACTCCCTAGTGGCCGCAACAGCCAGGGTGGGGCCAGGCTGAATCCAGAGGCCTGGAACTCCATGCTGGTCTATTCCACCGGCAGCAGGAGACCAAGAACCTGAGGGCCATCTTCTGCTGCCTTCAAAGGTACATCGGCTGGATTGGAAACCGAACAGGCAGGACAGAAGTAGCACTCAGAGCTGGGAGCTGGCACCCCGAGCAGCAGCAATAATTGGTTCCTGGCAAGTCCATGGTCCCTGACCACTCACCTAGGAGCTTGCAAGAAATGCAGGCAGCGAGTCCTGCTCTCCTGCTGAGCACAAATATGCATGTTCACAAGATCCCTGGGTGAGCCTGCAGGCCACAGGGCTGGGTGTCAGAGCACCCAAGTCAGACCAAACTGTTTCTTTGACAATCCCTGTTTCCACCCTGGGTGTTATCTAACGGGTGAGTAGCAAAAACCCATGTTAACTAGGGGCCTCTGCTGCCCAGCACCCAGTCTGCGCTTGCCGCTCCCAAAAAGGAAATGACCGAGTTCTCCAGACTTCTGGGAAGCCAGATTCACCAGGTGATCTCCACCTGCAGCCCAGCCAAGGGCAAAGAGCAATGGCGCCCCCTCGTGGCAGAACCAACTCCACAGCTCACATAACGCCAAATCTGATCTGGCTGTGGTCAGGGGGTGTCAGACACTCAGAAGATTCCTTTACCCACTGTTCTGTGATTGCAGTTGCCAGTGGTCATCCACAGTTTAAACATACCAACTGGAGAATTCCAAAGAAAAACCACTGTTTAAAAGCCGTTCTGTCCCACCCAATCTCTCTCAAGGTGCACCCTCGTCTGAGCCCATTACTAGGAATCCCTAACTGGGCCCGATTTATAAAGGAAGCTTTTCCATAGGTGTATGCCTGAGGAAAGTTTAAGGGATTGATGCCATCCTTAGCTCCAGCATCCCCATGGGGTCTTGAAACATTCCACCCATGAGCCAGGGCTTTTTCTAAGAGAGAAAACACACACACACACACACACACGTGTTGGTGCCATCCTCAGCTCCAGCATCCTCTTGGGCTCTTAAAACATCCCACCCATAAGCCAGGGTGGAATGTTTTTCTAAACACACACACACACCCAACACTCTGGCCACTTAGCTTTCCAGATTACCCCCTAGAAAACAGCTGGCTCTGCCCCCCATCCTTCCTCCCCCCGGGGTGGGGTGGGGTTAGAGGATGGCAGGGGAGTTACAGTGCTGTGTTCTCCCCACTGTGACCACCCCTCTTTTTGCCTGTCACTCCCTGGCTACCTGGCTCAGCCAGACTGTGGCAGATGATTCACCCAGCCTGAGGCTCCCCACTTCCCCAGCTCATCTCCACCTAGTCCAGCTCACCTGTTCCTCCTGCGAACGTCACGAGCATCTTGGAGGTGGCCCCACTGACAGTCTGGGAAAGGCCAGACCACTGGCCCCAATCTGTTTAATCTACATTCCGATCCTACTTAGCCTTCTGTTGTAACCATTTAAGCCTGAAAATAGAACAAGTATACTAGTAAAAGTCAGATCAAAGCCCAGGCCCTGTGGGCTACCTTCTTGTCACCCAGCGAAGGCTGACTCGCAGCACAGGTCCCAACAACTTTGTCCCTCTCTCCGTTCCAGCTACCACAGCAGGCTGCCCCCACCCTCACGGCTCATGTCCCACTAATGCCCCACTACCTCTAACCCTCCTAGATCCAAGGAAGCCTTCCAGAAACATCCTGTCACTTCTAGGTTAAGAGAGTAAGAGAGCAAGCTGCATTTCATTGTGCATACCAGCTCAACTTCTAACTACAGCTTCCTAACAGATCCTGGGGGGTAACAGGTAACAACCAAGCTCCTGGGGTTCTGACACCCAACTAGGAGCCCTAGATTAAGTTCCAACCTCTTGGATTCATTCAGCCAGCTCCAACCTGAGCTCCAGCCATTGCTGGTATTAGGGAGAGTGAACCAGTGTAGACTCTTGCAAATCAATCAATTTTAAAATGGTAAACCCCTTGCAACAGAATCCTAACCCCTTAGCCCCTCTGGCCACTTGTAAGAGATTCCCTTACAAAACCCTTAGTGTGTGAAGAACATCTCAACACCAACAGTCCGGTGGCTACTGGACCCTCCTCCAGACAACTCACCACTGTGAGCTCCATCTGCAGTACAGGGAAGCCCTTCCACCAGCCCAGCTCTACCACCCGCCTTGGCAGGCACACGGGTACCCTCCTGGTAAGCCCAGGCGCCTCCCGTACGCTCCGAGAGGAACACTCTGTTCTCAAGTTACTAGGGGTCCAATCCACTCCCACAGAGGCTTGGAAGGAGATGACTCACTGCAGGACCGTACAGGTGCTGGAAGGTTAACCTGCTCTGGCCCACCAAAGCACCCAGGCCAGTGCTAAGTGGCCGACGGCAGACAGCGAGCCCCCTACCCAGGCCTGTCTCCTCCCCCACATTAACACCAGCACAAACAGCCTGTGCACACACACCTCACACCCGCTCCGAGATGTGCACTGTGTTGGGCACAGTTACGAACCCTGATACCTCTATGAAAACCATCCACCCTCTGCTATTGGCAAAGCTTCCAGTTAAGGCTTAGGAAGAGGAGCTAGATGAAGATCCCCTGACAGCAGAGGCTGACCGGGAGGACAAGTGCGGGAGTGACCTCTACCCACCGCTGGGCAGAGCTCGAGACATGGCAAGCAGACTAGGGAACCCTCTTTTCACACACACACACACACACACACACACACACACACACACACTCTCTCTCTCTCTCTCTCTCTCTCTCTCAGGCCTGCACACTCATGTGCACTCAGCAGCCTTCATCACAAAAGGAAGGAAGCCATTCCTTAGAGTCTAAGACAGGTTTCTTTTATTAGTTTTTCCTAAACTTGTCTCATGTTTACTGCATGTTTTTCTTAGTGTGAGAACGTGACCTGGAGTTTTTAACAGACCAACTGGGTAACGCAGCCGGGACAGATCCTTGTGTTCACTCTATGGCCTGGCACCTGTGGGAATCCATCTGGTCTGAAAGACTGTCAGACAGCAAGCAACCATGTCACCTCATTCCTAGTTATAATCTTCAAATTTATCCCATCCCAACACCCAAGCCCTCCCCCACAAACACACACAACAAAACTTTAGCCTAAAAGTTGGCTTAACCCTGCAGCCAGCAGGTCCCAGCTGGCATCATGCCAACTGACACTTGAGAAGCCTGCCAGGTGAGTGCAGGCCTGGCCAGGGCCATTGCCCACACACCCCCTTCCGTGTAGGCAGCTGTTCTCCATGGCACTTGAGGGCTTGTGACGCAGGAACATTTCTATGTGGACATGGACAGAAACAGAAACTGTGCAGGGTATGGTCTCATTTCTAACAGAGCCCAACATCAACAGACACACTCTGTTACACAGAGTAGTAGCCATTATCACAAAGATACAAAGCAAAACCAACACCGTTGGAAAGGAGTTTCTAAGGCAGGTACCAGCTCGGGCCTCTGCTGCAGGTGCCCCCAAAAGGAAGGCCGAGAGGCTGACACATCAGGCCGCACTGCTTTCACACTCACTTTAGGCTCAGCCGGTGTGATGCGTTGCATCTTGGGTTTCTGTATGATCTGTCTCAGCTGCTTCACACAGAAATGGGAAGATTCCTAACAGAAAGAATACTTGGCACACAGGGGACAGATGAGCTGAAAAGAACCTCTATTCTTCTAGGAGTCCAAAATGTACCCAATACATACAGAACCTCTGGCACCTGAATGAACAGGCCGTGGCACAATTCTTTATGCCATAATTAACAAGAACTTGACTGCCTACAGCAACTGTCCCTCCACACAAGGCTGCCCTTTCTGCCGGAGGAGCCCCAAAGCTCTGGGCACAAGGAGCACTTTAAGAAGTGCAGGTCTCAGAGCTTCAGTCCCGGTCTGTTCTGGCGTGGGCATTGGGGGTTGGGAGCTCTGCTGAGAGGAGTTGCGGAGGGAGAGGACAGGAGGCCTGGCCTTAGCTCGAGAGCATACTTCCGCTCCACTAACTTCGGCCATGTGCTATTCCAGCCCCCAGAGCTGAGGGGGACCTGCCCTCATCCCCACACCAAGAGGGGAGCCTTCGGGCAAGCTCAATAGCAGACTCTGAAGACGCAATTCGAGCTCCTGTCAGGCCGAGCATCGTGTAAAGGTTGCTCAACAGCTAGGTATAATTTTTGTGACAGCTCAACTTTCTAAAACAAATTTACCCTCGAAGAAGCATGATTCAACACAGAATGAGTGAAGCTTACGTGCAGGTACTCACTGGCTTCGAAATATGAAAGAGATACAATGTACTCACTCTCTGTATCTAACTATTTAGAAGTCAAAAGCTCCTACATTCCTATATCCCTTTCCCCAAAGCCCCTAAAAACTGATTAAGAAATCTCCAGTTTCACTTGCTCTAGTTGATAGTTAGAACAAAGCTGACAACTTAAAGCTTTATAATAGTCTGTTTTAATATAAACAAGTGTTGCAATCAATCAATGTCCATCTCAGGAAGCTTCTTGTCAGCATCGGAAGGCACAGCTCCGTCTGCACCCTGCTCGGCGGCCTGAGGGCCAGGGTTGTCACCTTGTCCGTCCACTGGTCCATTCTGCTCTGCGTTTTTCTGCTCCTCTTTTGGAGGTTCCACTTTGGGTTTAGGCTTGGAAATTATAGGGCTACAGAAGCTCGTCAGCTCCTACAACAGCAAGAGAACAGTATGGTTCCTTACAAACGAACACCTCTTGTGCCCCTTGCTATCCGCAGCTCCACCAGCCCTCACACCAGCAGCAAAACTCCCTCCTCAAGGTCACCTGAAGAAACCCAAATTACCTTAATTTTAGCTTCAATCTCTTTTGTCTTGACCACGGGGTCCAGGGTCAGGCTCTGCTTATTCTGCAGATTCAGCTTGCTGTTCATCCATTCCATGGCCTCATTTGTGCTCTTCTCCACCTTGGCCATGTCCGCAGCATCCAAATGCTCATACTGGTCCTCCTACAGCCATCAGAGACAATGTCAAAAGACAGGACTCGGCCTCCCTGAAGCAGTCTAGCTCATCACCAGATTTCAAAGTGTTACAAGTTTTCAAAAACTGAAGCACATGTAAAGTTCAACAGAAAAAAAAATGAACAAGTTTTTTAAACATTCAGAAAAATTAGAAAATACATAATAAGGTAATTACATGGTTTCGAAAGTATAGGGCCCAACATGACGACTCAATTGGCTAATCCTCCACCTCTGTGCAACAGGATGCCCCATATGGGCACTGGTTCATGTCCCAAATGCTCCATTCCCATCCAACTCCCTATTGTGGGCTGGGAAAGCGGCAGAGGATGGGCAAAACCTTGGCATGCTGCACCCACAAACAGTTCCTGGCCCCGGCCTTTGGACTGACTCAGCTCCAGCCACTGTGACCATCTGAGGAGTGAGCCAGCGGATCAAAGAACCCAGTCTCTCCTCTTCGTAAATCTGATCCGCTTTCCAATAAAAACGCGTAAATCCAAAAGTGGAAATACATGAACAGGTTTCATACTAAAAGATAATTTCACAATGAAAAAAAAAAAACCTACATTTTCTTTAGATATGGAAGCTAAGATTTACGCATGCTGGTCAGAACAATAATGAATACAATTTCTTAGAGAAGGACTTTCACAATCAAAATCTTTTTGCAAACTCTATTGATCACTCCTGGGTTTCTTGCGTGATAATACATCAAGAACCAAGATGACGGCACACAGCAGAGTGGGCAGCACGCCAGTGCTGGAGTCACGCAGCTGAAGCCCAGCTCCCCAGGTCATTACTGAGGGCTGTGCAAGGCCAAGGGAGAAGCTCTCAGTGCCAAGTCCACCAACCACACTGTGAGCGCCGTGTGCCTTCTGTGACAATCTCACAACGCTCCAGAGCTGCCTTACTGCTCACATAGAGCCCCATGTGCACACCCAACCGGCTCCGGGGCTAGGACAGCGCCCGTGAGGATGGGCACCGGCAGCACTGCAAGGCAAGCAGTCAACAACACTGCACACCGTCGGGAGCCACCTTTTCAAGACAAACAGCAAATTCTGTAGGTCCAAGATTATATAAAGTACTACACAAAATTAACATTCAAAACGCCAACATAATTAAACAAACGTCAAGTAATAAAACTACATAAATGCTTTAAATTAACTATCAAAACAAAAAAATTACATGACAGATACCTTGTTTTTGAAAGAACTGATTACTTTCATATATTGTTGGATTTGTTTCCCCAGTTCTTCAAATAATTTTGGTCTTTCTTCAGATTCCTGGAATCGTATCTTAATAGGCTGACCTAGATTCTTCACATGAGAGAGAACAGAGAAATTTTTCACACATCTTAAACCACCAGAGACATTCTGTTTATGCCAGGACTGATGAGAGTACATTTGTTCTCCATGTGTTAATATACAGTCAAACAGGTTTCTCCATCATCTACACGCAGTCACTGCAGTTTGTCACCTAAGCCTGAGTTCTTAACACACAACTTGGGAAGGGGAGGTGGGGAGGGCAACACACAAACTAGGCCCAGTACAGTAGCCTAAAGGCTAAAATCCTTGCCTTGCCTGCACCGGGATCACTCATGGGCACCGGTTCTAATCCTGGCAGCTCCACTTCCCTTCCAGCTCCCTGCTTGTGGTCTGGGAAAGCAGCAGAGGACGGCCCAAAGCCTTGGAAACCTTGAGACCCTGCACAGAAGCTCCTGGCTCCTGACCTCAGATCTCCTCAGCTCTGCCCGTTGCAGTCACTTGGGGAGTGATCGAGCAGATGGAAGATCTTTCTTTCCATCTCTCTGTAAAAAAGTGGATTTCTAGTAAAAACAAAACAAAAAACTAGGTGCTTTGGTATACTGACCAAATAATTTTCTTATATTTTCAATTAAAATTTAATAAAAGAAAAATCTGAGTGTAATGGAGCTTCTGGATCCACCTACCATTGAACCAGCTGTTAGATACCTGCACGGAAATAACAACAGCAACATCCAGACTAAGGCAGAACTAATCCAACGGCTTCACAAAAATAAAAAGGATAAATGGGAAACCACGAAGACTTAAAAAACTAATAAAAATATGTGGTTCTTGGGGGATCCATAGTCAACCAACTAAAATAATAATCGGTTATGGAAAAAAAAAAAAAAAGAGGAAACTGTCACTATTGTTACAAAGGATCCCTTAGCTGGGACAACGTACGTTGTCTTTTCCTGGAAAGGCACACTGGATCACCAGGGACTTGCTCAAATCCAATGGGAATGGAGAAGACAGATGTCGAGCACCTGACAATGGCAGACACTACAATTTTGCCTCCATGTCTGACATCTACCAGAACAAGAAGCAAAACAAAGAAAAAAAACAAAGTGGAATGGCTCTTAAGCTTTAGTCTTCCAAGAATGAAATTAAACTGCCAAGGTCTTCGTTGAGACAGCCCACCCAGCAGGTGGTAAAAAAGCCCCAGAGAGGGACTGGCACGATAACATAGTGGTGAAAGTCCTCACCTTGAACGCACTGGGATCCCATATGGGCAGTTCTAATCCTGGCAGCCTGCTTCCCATCCAGCTCCCTGCAAGTGGCCTGGGAAAGCAGTTGAGGACAGTCCAAAGCCCTGGAACCCTGCACCCATGTGGGAGACATGGAAGAGGCTCCTAGCTTCAGACTGGCTCAGCTCCAGCCGTTGCGGCCGCTTGGGGAGTAAACTATCGAACTGAAGATGTTCCTCTCTGTTTCTCCTCCTCTCTGTATATCTGCCTTTCCAATAAATAAATCTTTAAAAAAATAAATAAATAGGGCCCGGCGTGGTGGCACAAGTGGTTAAGTCCTCGCCTTGCACGCCCGGGATCCCATATCCCTTCCAGCTTCCCGCCTGTGGCCTGGGAAAGCAGTCGAGGATGACCCAAAGCTTTGGGACCCTGCACCCGCGTGGGAGACCCAGAAGAGGCTCCTGGCTTCGGATCGGCATACCATTAGCCGTTGCGCTCACTTGGGGAGTGAATCATCAGACGGAAGATCTTCCTCTCTGTCTCTCCTCTCTGTATATCTGCCTTTCCAATAAAAAAATAATAAAAATAAATCTTAAAAAAATAATAATAATAATAAAATAAATAAATAAAAGGCCCAGAGAACCAGAGCTTCAACTGAAGGGCCACAGGCGAAGCCAACTCTTCTATTCTGTTTCCTTTTCCTACAAGAATGCCCAATGTTACACAATTCTTGGTATTTTTAGCTCGAAGGAGTAACAACCATATTTTTATTTATTTATTTATTTTTTAAGATTTATTTATTTTTTATTGGAAAGGCGGATATACAGAGCTCCCGGGCCACAGGCAGGGAGCTGGATGGGAAGAGGGGCTGCCGGGATTAGAACCGGTGCCCATATGGAATCCCAGGTGTGCAAGGTGAGGACCTTAACCACTGTGCCACCACTCCGGGCCCAACAACCATATTTTTAAAATACAAAATCAAACACTCTGCTTTTGCTGATTATCTCTCCAGCCGGTTGTGTCCCCACTGCACTGCAGGAGCAGTGGAGCAGCAGGTACATCTTGTTACTTGTCTTTTTATACCTCGACATCAAGTATGCACCATCTCTTCCATTCAGTCGCACTCTGTAAATCTACATTTTCAGTTCTTTTGTTATTTTACACTTATACTGACAATGACATAGTCATTAAGGATATATGATTTTTGAAACACAATTTTTATCCCATCTTCTCAACATGAGAATTCTCCATTTTGAGTGACTCTTCTTGGGAGCCGTACCCACAGTCAGTGTGGTTCAAACAGCCTACTCTCAACAACACTTACCTTTAATTCAGCCAACTTGTCAACATAGACTTGCTTTGGCTGGTCTTCACCATCCTCATAGAGCCAATTTTCAGTATCTTCTAGTTTCAAGGTAAAACTGTTTCGATCCTGAAGAAGATAGGTCAACAATGAGGGCTGAATCAGCTGTCCAGTCACAGACTCAGACTGGAATGACATCCCTAAGAAATGCTCTACAACTCTGAACGGGTGGGAAACGCAGCGATGAAGACCAGCAGGTGCTACTGGGCTTGACAGGCACAAGGGATATTCTTTTACTCTTTAGGCTGTAGAGGACTTCAAATAGATTTGGCAATTTCCATACCAAAAACTGCACTTATTTGTGAGTTACACACTTACACACACACACACACACACACACACACACACACACACACACAGTGAACTGGCTAGAAGAAAAATACCAGGTTAAGTATCAGCAGTCAAATAGGTAAAAATGTGGGATGTGAAAGTGATGTAGAGACACCACTTGCTTCAACAAGCACTGCACTAAAACAGGAATATGGAATATCATTATAAAGCAGTTAGTGCCTTGTATGTCCTGTATCAAAAATGCAAGGGACCAGTCTTTCAGGTTTTGTATTCTTTCAAATCCAAAATCCTTGCACATACACTGCCAGGCAAGCATCCCTAGTCCAGGAGGCCAAAACCCACATCTGCAGCTGTCAAGCATTGTGACTCCGAGTATCGGCTGTAGGATTAAGAATGCTCTATTTGTGCAACTTTGCCCTTCACCCTAAAATTGGTTGGTCATTCTACTCTATACACGTAGAGGCAAGCTTTCCTTCTGCCACATTCAAAGATGCTTCGAGAAGACACAGCAGCCTGGCACATGGGACACACTTACATCCTCACTCACAAACTTCTCATAATCACCACTAAGTTTGTCTCTCATTTCATAGACGTATTCTTCCACCGCGTTCTTGGCATCGTTGCGCTCCTTCTCCAATTTGTCCTGCATGATCATCTTACCCTGAGGACAGATAAACCAAGCAGACTTCAGGAAAACAGGTAATTTCCTCTTCAGGGCCACCACAACTACCAATGCAGACAACCAATCTCCCCCAATTCCTTTTCAGTTCTCCAAACCAGCAAAGTGACAGCTGAAACCTGTCCTTGGTTGATTTGAATTAAGTGGTTACATCAGCTGACAACACAGCAACAGAACACTCCAGCAAAAAATCTGAACAGAGTTAAGCACAAGAGAATGCCAAGAAACGACAGGCTGTTAGATAATGATACTTCAGAGTATACCACCTTAAGGAAAACCTAGAAAATCAAGTTTATTCACACTACACAAACGTGAGTGGTATTGCAGAGAGAGTATTCAGTGGATGCCTAAGAAATGTCACAGGTAACAATCCCATTAATAATGACTCCAGGGTTCCAAACCTCACCACTCACTTTTGAATCCCATAACTGGGAATTAATGTAATTAACGCTATGTGACTTGTACTGACCGACTTCTGTGATGAATCTCCCTTAACATCCCAATCTCTCGTAAGCACACACACCCCAAAATTAACAGTACCTCCGCTAAACCAAAGATTTCCTAACAAAGCTCTTACAAATAAGACATCCTATCAAGATAATTTTGGTTGATTTAAGTGGTTACATCAGCTGACAACATAGCAACAGAACACTCCCTAAGAGAATTTTGGCATTCAACAGGTTTTATTATTTAAATTTAGCTATTATAGAACCCATAAACCTAAACCATTTTCAATTTCTTAACAGAGCTCTTATAATTAGACATCCTATTAATATAATTGTAAAAGGATTTTGGCACTCTGTAGGTTTTATTCTTTAATCTTACAGATCCCATAAATCTAAACGACTTTCTGAGCAAGATGACCACATGAGCTCCCGACTGTAAGAGACTTAACAACCACCTCATTTTCGATGTACAAGTTGAGCATCTCCCTGTCTATATGCCACAACAGCTGATTCTCAATGGGCAAGTCCACAGTGCTGGTCTTCACTTTAGCCTTCTTGGCCTGAGGCGGTTGGTCCATCTTTTTGTCTTTAGATCCAGCCAGAGAGGTCTAAAATAACAGAAATCAGGAAGAACAAACACAATGAGACGTTGGAAGTAGAGAAATCACTAACACACATACGGACTTTTCAAAATTTCAATATGGCCATGTGTCAAAGGATCTTTTGCTCTATTAACCTGTTTTCTGGCAGCCTAAATAATTTAGGGGTATTTTTTGTTTGTTTTTGAGACTTATTTACATAGAGGAAGAGCTTCCATCCACTAGTTCACTCTCCAAGTGGCAGCAACAGCCAGAGCTGAGCTGATCTAAAGCCCGGAGCCAGGAGCCTTTCCCAGGTCTCCCATGTGGGTGCAGGGTCCCAAGGCTTTGGGCTGTCCTCCACTGCTTTCCCAGGTCTCAGGCAGGGAGCTGGATGGGAAGTGGAGCAGTTGGGACACAAACTGGTGCCCATATGTGATCCTGGTACATGCAAGGTGAAAAGTTTAGACACTAAGGTTACTGCACTGTGCCCCAACCTATAGTTTTTAAAGTAGCCTGGGAAGGCAGCCAAGAACAGCCAAAGCCTTGGGAGCCTGTACCCGCATGGGAGACCCAGAAGAGGCTCCTGGCTTTGGATCAGCTCAGCTCTGGCCACTGCGAGCGCTTGAGGAATCAATCAACGGATGGATGATCTTCCTGTTTTTCCCCGTCTCTGTATGTCTGACTTTCTAATAAAAATAAATCTTTAAAGAAAAATAATAGAGTTCAAAGTACCTTCACAATATATTATAAAATCTTTCAGAAAATTATTAAAATGTATCAAGAATCACTACAGTAACTGAGTAACTATCTTCAAAGACAATCCCTTATCAGAAACCACAACCATTAATTCACATTCTATAAGACAGCTCATACCTCCATTTCTTCAGATTCTGTCTTATTTTCTGCTGGTGTCTGCTGCTGCTGCTGCTGCTGTTCTTCCACAGGTGGCTCCTCTTGGTCCACTTGCATCTTCTGGAAAACAGAGCTGAGTAAATCCCAACACCAGAGAAACACTGCTCAAGGAGTAAGCTTCATAACACACTGGCGGTTACAGAGCGCGAGTTCCCAAGGAAGCTCTATCAGTAGCTCTTGCCTCAAATTCCAGCTATTCCACATAGCTAGGCCACACAGGCTAGCTATACAAAACACACAGGATTCCCTCTAATCTTAGTTATCAGTCTATACAACAGGACTGTGAAGCTGTGATGCAAACCATCAGTACCGGTAGTACACTACGTGGCACCATTTAACACCATCTACAAAATACAATCCTGAGAACACACTTGAGTTTCTCAAAGGTTCCTCATGATTGCATGTCTTAAGTCTACTCCAAGCAGCTCCTAATTCATCCTTTTCACCCTCAAAAGTATAGTCATTACATGGGTCAGAGCAGCAAGCCTCACAGTACTGACGAAGGGAGCAGTTGGGGGAGAGCCTCAACATCTGCAGCACGTCAGAATCACCGGACAGCTTCTATCACTACTCGAGCGGGACTCCAACCCAAAGCACAGCAACCCCAATCTCTAGATCAGACTCCAGTCTCAGGAAGCACTGATTCTGAGACATAGTGAGGACAATGCCCAGGGTCCATTCCAATATGTACGTGAACAAACTACTCATTAAAATAATCAAACATGACATGGGACCTTCCCTTCAAGAACTACCAAGCTGAAGGAAACAGAAGCCAACTTTAGTATCCATTCCATACTCACAAACTCTGTGTAAAAATCTTCTGTGCCTTCACTACCAAGGGAGCCATACATGCCCCAGGTCTGTCACAGTGCTCACCTGTCACCCATCCACTTGCTAGTATTTCTACTCAAGTTACCCAGGGGCATCCTTCACAGCCCAAAACACCCAAATTACCTCTTCCTCCTTTGCGTTCTGATCCGTTTCCATTGGCTCTTCATTTTCCTCGGATTTATGAACTTCCACTAGGGATGCACTAGACACACTGAAGATGCCATGCACGTTGACTCGAACTTTTACCTTCACTTTGGAACTGGAGCCATCAGACTGAGGAGTGACTTTCTGAACTGAAAACTGAGCTATGGACAGGAAAGAGACAAAAAAAGAACCACCGAAGAGGATGATTTTAAACATGCACACACTCACAATGCCAAGTGATAGCTACTGCTCCATGTCGGTTCGGTAACTAACATGACACTTCAAATAAGCAAAGTGAATACTCATACAATCACACCAAATTATCACAATTTTTCTTGATCTTTTACTTTTAGGCATATTTATCCCCAATTAAGGACTCAATCATTTCTAATTTGTTCCCTATTCCACTTCATTATTTAATATTGATGTTACTGTCAGGAAAACCTCCAAGACACACATTGATCCTTCTACAAGGAAAAACAAATAAGGACTCCACACTACTGCCAGTTATCCAGAAACTGCCATTCCTAGTAAATCCAGTTATTAAGATCAGGGTTTTGCTGTCGTTTACTTCCACAATTCTGTTTCAGAAATTAGAAAAATCTTCCTGCTGCTTCCCAGTATCATTCAGCATATTGCTAATACTTCCTGCATGTATTTAAAATATTGGTCACGTACTTGAGCTTCTCTTTTCAACCAGTACTATTATCAAATCGCCAGTCTCCCCGGAGCCTAGTGAAGACTATGACAGGCTGGTCCCCAAACCCTGGTCTGTTACTAGTGTACCACACTCTCCTGCTGAGCTGTGTGCACGCTGTCACACCACTGAAGCACAGGGGCCCCGCCTCTCTAATTCCTTAGTCTCTAGAAGTGCCTCACATAAAGGCAGAATTCCAATGTGCATTATCTGAGAAACACTGCCCAGAAAACAGCAACCCGATTCTGACCCTGTTAACAGAACTGGAAGAGGTTTTGTCTGGCTACCTCAAGTATTTCAATTTCTTCCTGCTACCCCTGTTCTTCAAGTGGAGAAAAGCTGGCTATGTCACGGCCCACCCTACCCTTCACTCACCTATAGCAGGGTCTGGGTAGGGCAGATCCTGAGGGGAGCTGTAATAGGCCTCCAGAGTGAAAGGTTCCTTTCTATAAAAAGTGAGCACTTTCGAGAAAGGAGCAGCATGATTTTTGGCAAAAACCTCACAATCACTGCATGGGAGGAAACAGACAAAAAACACAAATTTAGGATATAGCATTGTTTCCAGATTCTAGGAGTTATCTCTTTATAGTCAATAAAAAAGGAAATGCACTTCAGAGAGCAGAAAGAGGTGCCAATGCCTGCATCAGCATCAGCAGAGGCAGTGAGAACGTAATTTATCTACCCCGAGTAATAAGCAATCACTTTTCATTACACATTACAACAAAATATTACAGCTTTATTTAGGCGGGAAGGTAGGGAATGCAGTAGTTGCCATAGCGTAAGAGTGAGCAATAAACGCGTTACCTTGACCCTTCCTCTGCTGGAGAATTCCACCTCAGGGATATGGGGAATGGTACCACATCGGTGATAGAGAACTCTCTGACTTTGAAAGCAGGCGATAAGATTGCACACTGAAATAAAATGTTTGAGAATTGCATTTGGCAAGCATACACAACAGAAATTGACAAATCAGTAGAATCATAATGATGAACCCCAGCAAGGGCCATCAACGGCCTTCAAGTTTCTAATTCAATAATTCAATGCTACCCAAGCAAGCAATTTAATCAACTTCTATCACTTGTCAAATCACCTGTCTAATCCAGTACTTATAATTTTTTCATTAAATTTTCACCCTTAGGTAGCTGTTGCACAACGCTACCTCATGTACAACCATAAATCACATGAGTATCTATGACATTTAAAGGAAGCCCAGAGTTACCTATGTGTCTATTGAATTAACTGAAAGACTGTAGTTATTTAAATGACATCAACAAACAGGTTCAGAATCTTGGACCTTGCAATGACCACAAGCTAACCACCACCTTGTCGCAATAAGCCTGAAGAAAACCCACCTGCAGCGCACATCCTCGGGTCACGGCTTCGTCGGCATTGAGCGTCGTACTAAGCTCTTTACCAAAAAACTTACTGATCTTTTCCTTTACTGCGGGGATTCGTGTAGCACCGCCAACTATCTCCACTGCATAAATATCTTCTTTCTTTAACTCTATTTGAAAACAATTACACATCTATATTAAAGAACCTTTAAGTCAGCACTGAACTAATAAAAAGCGTAGGACCAACAGTAGTACTCACAGTCATGTACCAACTTGTCACAGCACACACTCACACAAGCACAGGTATGTGAAGACAAGCAGCTGCTCTGAGTCTGAAAGTACCAGGGAGAGGGTAGCACAAGCATGGTGGGATCGGGGAGGCTTAGGCTGGTAATACCCAATGTCCTGCAACATCTGACAGTGTTCTACAAGAACTAACGCTCCAGGAAAGTGAACGACAGGCCCCTGCACCCACGTGTGCCATCTGGAGGAAGCTCTTGGTTCTTGGCTTCTGTCTGGCCCATCCCTGGCCATGGTGGCCATTTGCGAAGTAAACCAGAGGATGAAAAATCCCTCTCCCTCTCTCTGCACCCTTTTCCCTTAACTATCCCTTGCAAGGGGATTAAATACACCTTTTATTAAACAAACAAACAAAAAAAGGAAGGCTTCCACACTCCCCCATCCACAGCAGCAGCAAGGTTCCACCTTACAACAGTCGTCACACAAGGCCTTATCAGAGAAGCATGTCCCAAAGCTTGCTCGCACAAATATCGCTGCCATTGCCTGCTTTCCCCGTCACTCTACCAGGCACCAAGGGACAACCTCCTGAGAGAGTATTTAAAGAAAGGTGATACACCCTGGTAGGGGGCAGAGAGGAACACACCCGCCTCCCATCACTTTGACTTAAGAGCAAGGTGTGTGCCAAGCTGGCAGAACATCAACACTCTGAAAGACTTAGCAACCAACAAAACACTGAGCACTCAGGAAATATTTGTTAGAGCAGGCTTTAGGAAAATTAGTAACACATTCCTAACTCAAACTGTCACACTTTAGCATAACACAAAATTGAAATGTTCTGCCATCAGAACAGACTGTATCTTTCACGCAGCTAAAGAAGTCACTCACTGACAGGAAGGTTTACAAGACTACTAAGTCAGCAGGCACTCGCGAAGCAGTTACATCCACCCCCGAGTCAAAACCAATGTCTCAGAGAATTTTACTCAAGTTCCCTGACACTTAACTCTAAGATTATGGGGCAGAGAAAGATATCGCTAAAAGAGAAACAAGGCAGCTTAAACACAGCACTGAACCTATGTAACTACTTGGTGTAAAGCAAAGAACACTGTCCAAAGAATCTAACAGACGATTCTACAAAGATACTTACTGGCTTGATCCAAAACACTACGAAGCGGTGGCTCCACTCTAGCTAGAAGATCATCACACATCTCCAGGAATTTACTTCTATTTAAAAATAATAATAATAAAAATTTAAAAGCAGGCAAAATTATATCCTACTTATACGTGAAATTTTCAGCCAGGACTTGAACCCAGGACAAAAACCAGAACCCATATAGGATGCCAACATTGTAACCAGCAACATAACCTGGTAACACAATACTAGTCACTTCTTTTAATAGCTTGATAGTTCACTGAGACTTTTACATGACGTAATGAAAATGAAGTGATGCCTACACAATTATATGAAAATACTAAAAAAAGTTGGATCACATACTTCAAAAGCAAAGGGGCAAGGATATGGAGCAGCAGATACGTTAACACACGGCTTGGGACAATGTGTGGGGTTCAAATTCTGCTTATGTTCCTCATTCCACCTTCTGCTAACATACATTTTTAAAGGCAGCAAGTAAAGATTCAAATACTTGCATCATTTAAGTAGGGAACACAGACTGAGTTCTGCTATCCTGGTTTGGCAGAGCCAAGCTCCAGCTATATAGGTTATTTGGGTATACACAAGCTGAGGAAAAATACCTCTCTATGCCTTTCAAAACAGCATTTTTTAAAAATTAAATTACTTCAGAGCTGGCACAATAGATCAATTGACTAATCTTCCGCTTACAAGCACTAGGATCCCATGTGGGCACCGGTTCGTGTCCCAGCTGCTTCACTTCCCATCCCAGTGGCCTGGGAAAGCAGTGCAGGAGGGCATAAAGCCTTGAGATCCTGTACCCACATGGGAGCCCCAGAAGCAGCTCCTGGTTCCTGGCCTCAAACTGATTCAACTCCAGCCATTACGGCCATTAAGGAAGTGAACCAGTGGATGGAAGCTCTTTTTTCTCCTCCTGTGTCTATAAATCTGCCATTTCAATAAAAATAAATCTTTAAAAAAATAAACTGGCCTTCACGAATTATATCTAAATACAGTAGAAGTATAAAAGCAGCCACCAGAATGGAAAAAAAAAAATCAACATTACTAATGCCAACACTGATGAAAAGGTAGTAACAAATTATTACATGTGAAGAGTCTAAAATGGCAATTTATTCTCAACAGCAAATGACTAAAGAAATCTAGCTTTTAACAGTAACTTGCAGTGGGCACTTAGCAAACAACACAAGAAGAGTTACTAAACAGACGCTTATACTAACATACTATGACTCTATTTCTAAGTAGTTCCAGACAAATAAGTGTAATTCACACCCAAAAAGAACAAATATTGCAGCCGGGCCCGGCAGCGTGGCCTAGCGGCTTAAGTTCTCACCTTGAAAGCACCCAGGATCCCATATGGGCACTGGTTTTAATCCCGGCAGCTCCACTTCCCATCCAGCTCCCTGCCTGTGGCCTGGGAAGGCAGTCGAGGAAGGCCCAAGGCTTTGGGACCCTGCACCCATGTGGGATCCCGGAAGAAGTTCCTGGATCCTGGCTTCTGATCAGCATAGCATCGGCCATTGTGCTCTCTTGGGGAGTGAATCATCGGATGGAAGATCTTCCTCTCTGTCTCTCCTTCTCTCTGTATATCTGACTTGCAATAAATAAATCTTTAAAAAAAAAATATTGCAGCCAAGGCTAGCCTAGTAGAGGAAGGCTGGAGCAAATGTGCACAGATAACAATCTATTTCAAAATAAGGGGTACAACTGTCAAAGCACAGCAGCTTAAGCCGCCATTTGCGACTCCAGGCATTCCAAGTTTGAATGCCTGGTTTGAGGCCAGGCTAACCTGAACCTTAGACCCACGTTCCTGGTGATGCACTTGGAAGCCAGCCAATGAGGGAACAAGCAGCTGCCCTAGGGTGAAATGCCAATTGTAATCCCAGCTGCTCCACTTCTGATCTAGCTCCCTGCTAATGAGCCATCAAAAGTAGAAGAGGGCCTGAGTTGTAGTTGTAGCTGGGCCTCTGCAACCCAACTACAGACCTTGCTGAAACTCCTGACTTTGGCCTGGCCCTGCCACAGCGTCTGCAGCCAGGTGAGGAGTAAACTAGCACGTGGAAGATCTCCCTCTGTCTCTCTGTACTTCTATATCTCTAACTTGCAAATAAATCAATCATAAAAAAAAAACAAAAAGCACTTTGCTCCTATTTCATAAAAACTGGCAATAAATGATACACACATATGTATGTATGTATAGATATATGTGTGTGTGTGTGTGTATACATGTGTATATATAATTTTAGAATAATCAAACCCAAACTTCACATAGAAAAAAGATCTGGAACAGTCCCTAATTTACGCTTAGAACTAAAGTTATCACATAAAAGTCACGAAGATTTCAGCAATTTGCTAATTAAGGTCAAACAGAAATCACGCATTAGCTGATCATCAAAATATTAATATGCTTACCTATTCATCATTCCAGATACATCGACATCGTTCATGAAACACTCAATGTTCAGGGGGAGGTCTGAGGCGTTCGCACTCATCAGCTTCTTGAGCTTCTCGCACTCTTGGGAGAGCCGTAACAACGCTCGGATTTTGGACTTTATGTCTAACTTGTATTTCTTCCCAAATTCTTCACAGAAGTGATTTACTAATACCTCATCAAATTTTCTGCCTCCAAGGGTTGAGTCAAAGGCAGTGGCCAGAACCTTTGAAAAAAAGGATGGTCAATTTTAAAATAGTACATATTTAACTAAGTAAATCTTAAAAACAAAAAAATCTGCAGTACTAGCCCAGTGTAGTTTCTCTTACATCTAAGCTCTGGTCATAAACTTTTTCCAGGACACTCAAAATAAGAGCAGAGGGTTGAACACGCTCCCTCAAACCCCCTGTGTAAAAGCAGTACAAGACTGCCTGCTAAAGCCTCCTCCTAAGGAGCCTACGGCGTAAGCATTATTGCTCCCATTTCACAGATGAAACACAGGACTCAAGGATCTTAACAGCTTTTTTCTTAAGGTCTATGCACTAAACTTGACACCCTACCAATGCATGTTCAACCGTGTGAAGTCAATAGCCTCCTGCTTGCCCCACTTCCAGTTTAGACGGTTCTCAGCAGTGAAACAACATCCTTATCCAATTCTTTAAGCTTTCTCTCAAAAACTTACCACAGTTTAACACAGTTAGAGTCTTCTGGAAAAGAAGAATACTTACTTTTAGTTTTCCTTTATTAAAGGCACAAATAGAAACTTGATAAGCAGAATGCCCCATATCTACAAACACTACATTTCTTGGTTTCTCTTCTAAGGCAGGAAGGTCTTGCTTATAGATTCCATATGCAAGAGCAACTATAGAAAAGAAAAAAAAAAAAAACAAACTCAACATAATAATACCACCTAAGTAATAAATAAAATTTGCTTAGGTAGTAAAAAGTATTCTACGGTGAACTGTACTAAATCATGGATTGTTATAGAAAAAAATAAAGTATTGATTAGCCCTGTACAATTATACATGACATACATGAACTTATGAGTTACTTTTAGAGATTTACGATAGAGCCATTTCCCCGCATCCTAACTACAACTCCTGGCTTTCTCCTCCACCCACACACCCCCACCCCCGCATCACATTAGCATTTCCACAATGCTTTACACCCCGTCTCTGAATCCAGTCCATCAGCATACTGCACACAGCGAATGTAATTAGGCAGAGTCTGTGTTCTTAGTAGGATGGGTCAAAGTAATTCCTCATATATGACATAAAACCCAAAACATTCTATGACACACAAGTGGTAAGCAAGAATGGCAGTGATGGGGCCAGAACTGGCTCAATTGGCTCATCCTCTGCCTGCAAGTGCCAGATTCCATTCATGTCCCAACTGCTCCATTTCCCATCTAGCTCCTTGCTGGGAAAAGCAGTAGAAGACGGCCCGGGGCTTTGGAACCCTACACCCGTGTGGGAGACCCAGAACAAGCACTCAGTTCCTGGTTCTGATCAGCTCAGTTCCAGCTGTTGTAGTGACTTGAGGAGTCATCCAACAGATGGAAGATCATTCTGTCTCTCCTCTTCTGTAAATCTATCTTTCCAATAAAAACAAATCTTTACAAAAAAAAAGGCAAGAAGTCCAAAGACTTCAAGATTCTGCAACCTTCAAGATTAAACATGTCAAAAGCCAACAGTTGTCTCACCTGCAGTAGTCTCGTTCATCAATCGCAGGCAGTTCAGACCAGCAATCTGTGTGGCATCCATCACTGATCGACGCTCTGCATCAGTGTAGAAACAAGGAACCTACCACAAAATTGTCCCAGTTTACTATATTGAGAGCCTCACTTTGGCTTATAAAAATTCAACAACACCCTCAAATACCTCCAGTAACATATTCTGGCTCATAAAAGTATTTGCAAATGGTAGGGAAGAGTCAGACTTCCGAGTCGGCAGCCCCAGGGAGAATGCACAATACCTACATCCCGACACTGCGTTTTGTAGGAACAGGACAGTTCACACAGAAGCAGAAACTGCTACTCTTACACAGGCTGACCTAACAAGCTGGCACTTGCATGGCATCTAGGAGTGTCCCCCTTTCACGTTTAAGACTGACTCACCATGCCTACCCATTAAACTTGCACGCGTCTGGGATGTCAGTAACACACTAGGAACATGACTGACCTCCCAACAGATAAAAGGCTAAACCTTCTAAGCACGTAATGCAGAGTAAGTCACAGATTATTCTAACTTGTCCCTAGACAGTTAAAATGTACCCCATCTGCCTCTGCAGCCGTGCTTGGCTTCGTCATGGGGCATTTTCCTTTGTTAACTTTGTCTTACACCCTTTCACTGGGAAGTACTTCCACAAGTGTAGGTATATACCAAGTTTGCTGAAGTCCTTCCAGCCTCAACTCACCTCAACTCACTGTCATCTGGAGATCCTCCATACAGGACTAATTTAACTAGATCCCCAAACCAGGAAAGCTACTCAGCAATCTCACTCTGTAACTACTTCAAATAAATAAATCTTAAATAAGTAAAAAGAAACAGAGGGGCTGAATCAGGGTGCAACAACAGCCAGTTCACATTGGGGCTGGGACTGAGGGCCTGGCTAGGCTGCAGCACCCATCAACATGAGCTGGAAATTGGGGCAAGCTGAACTGAGCCAGGCTGTAGCACCCACTGGTGAATGCCGAGGTGAGGCGATCCATGCGAGTCTAGGGGAGGTTGGTGCTGGGTCTGTGAGCCCTAGGGATGGGGACTTTAGCACAGCCCATTTTACCTGGCCTAGGTCCTTGGGCCTACCTGCTCAGTGAGTCCCATGAGTGGAGGATTCAGTGAGGCCCAGATCCTTGGGTCCATCTGCACAGTGGGTGCTGGGTCCCTCCCTGAGCCCCAGGAGCAGGGGTCCAGCGGGGCTAGGTCGTGTGGCCCAGCTCCTTCCCACCTGCAAGAACTGGTCCTCCTCAGTAGAAAAGACAGAGAAGTGAACAGCTGGCCCTGATCCACATGGAGGATATGGCGGCCCACTGAGGCCTGCAGAAGACATCTGCATCATGCCAGAGGAAGGAGGGCAAACTGAACAACACTCCACCCAAATGATGACAACAAATATCTGGGCAAATGGAAACTCTAAGGTCAACTGTGTCAGCCAATGGACATTGAAACGGTTCCCTCAACCTTAGACCAGCAAGATCAACATTTCAGAACTATCAAAGCCACCTGGGCAGAACCTTCGGATCATCGCCACACTGAGTTCCCGGGTTGATATCAGCTGGCCATTCCCCATCACTGCGTGCTGGGACGGTTGGGAGGCGGGGTGTGGCTTCTCCCCTTATACCCCCTACCTCCCAGAAACAGAAGAAAACTAGTACATCTGGAAACTGACCGCTCCTACTTTTCCCTAAGCCTTGATCCATCCAACCCTGACCATCTATGTTAACGTCATCTAAAACAAAAATGCTTAAAAAGAGAGAAAGAAACATGCCAGCCATGGAAACTGAGTACTTCCAAAAAAACTATGCATGAGCTTTAAAAATTTTTACAACAAATATTTACCAGTTTTGTTTTTCCCATAAGTATTCTTATGTATTCTTGTAAACAGACATATGGAAAAGCCAAAATAAAGTTGAATGTTGCCATGTTTGTAGTACTGGTCACAGCAAACAGAAAGACAGTCTTTGTATTTAGGGCAATTCAACTCTTCGGAAGACCACCTAACTACGCTGGGCCAAGCAAAGAAACCAGGAGTAAGCAGACTTTGAGCTCCCTTCAAGGACAGACAGGATTTAAACAGCGAAACAATGCAAGAGGCCTGACAAGTGAGGAGCCAGAGAAATACTTAAGAGCATGCAGGCCCACCTTGGAACTTCTCAACAATTAGAACAAAACAAAAAACAATCCTAACACTAAGATAAACTCACCGAAACAACACAGTCAACAACAGGCTTCTTAAGAACGCTTTCTGCTGTCTCCTTCAGTTTGGACAAAAGCATAGCTGTCACTTGCTCAGTGGTAAAATGTCGCTCTTCTTCCATATATGTCACCTGCAAGAAAAGCAAAAGTGCCCAGACTTCTTTTATTTCTTCATTTCATAGTCCTGAAGGTCTCAAATGAGAACGCTTCACCCAGACAATACAATGCACCAGGTCCAATACGACGTTTTTTAAAGACAAAGCTGAAGAAAGCTAATGTTAGAAGCAATAGTAACTTGATGGTCACATTGAACCTATTTTTAGCATGCTCTCACATTATTTCAAGATGCACTTAAAGTAGAAAAATCTGGGCCCAGCACTATAGCCCAGTGGTTAAATCCTCGCCTTGTATCCATCCACCAGGATCCCATATGGACATTAGTTCCTATCTTGACTGCAACACTTCCCATCCAGCTCCCTGCTTGGGATCTTGGAAAACAGTAGAGAATGACCCAAAGCCTTGGGACCCTGCACCCATGTGGGAGACCCGGAAAAAGCTTGTGGCTCAGCTCGGGCCATTACGGTCATCTACTTCTCTCTGTAGATACACCTTTCCAATCAAAATAAATAAGTAAGTAAGTAAGTAAATAAACAAACACCTAAGGCATTTGTAAGGCCCAGACATCTAAGCACCCAGCCCACACGGGGAGTACCAGAGTTTGCTTCTTGAAGCCAACAGCCACAACCCAGCAGGTTCTTCCAGGTTCCAAAAGTAGATGCAGAGTCCCAAGGCTTTGGGCCATTCATCCCTGCTTTTCCAGGAACAAACAGGAAGCTGGAAGGGAAGTGGAGCAGCAGGGACACAAACCAGCGCCAATATGGGATCCCAGCAGATGCAAGGCAAAGATTTAGCCACTAGGCTATCGCATCAGACCCCCAGGTTTTGCACTTCTAAGGTAACTCAAAAACCAGCGACAGTGATGACTTCCTCCTTCACAGCCCTCACCACCTCTTGGCTGCTGACATCGTTCTTGCTTCTCCAACATGAAACCCTCAAACTCCTCTCCTCCTCTAAGTTACCTTGGGTAAAACCTCCTCCTACCTCCAGGATTCCCCCACCAACCTGAAGACACCTCACTCCCACCTCGCACGCCTGTCACTTCTTTTCCATGATCAGCTGCCTCACAAAACATTTCAGGAATAGCATCCTCTTAATGTTCCAAAAGACTCCCTTCTCTCCAAAAGAAAACTGTGTTTTGGGGCCCGGCCCAATAGTATGGCGCTTAAAGTCCTCGCACTGAACACGCCCGGGATCCCATATGGGTGCCAGTTCTAATCCCGGCAGCCCTGATTCCCATCCAGCTCCCTGCTTGTGGCCTGGGAAAGCAGTCAAGGACGGCCCAAAGCCTTGGGACCCTGCACCCACATAGGAGACCTGAAGGAAGCTCCTGGCTGCCGGCTTTGGATCAGCTCAGCTGCAGCTGTTTTGGCCACATGGGGAGTGAACCAGCAGACAAAAGATCTTCCTCTCTGTCTCTCCTTCTCTCTGTAAATCTTTCCAATAATAATAAATATTAAATAAATAAAAATCCAAATGATGTTTACCAGCAAAAGCATTTCCTAAGCATTTTCAATACAATTTGACATATGGTTTGGCACTGACAAAATCGTGATTATATTGATAACATACTGCATTTAATTATAAGGCACTATTTTAACAACCTTACCTTTATACCTGTTAATCCAGTGGGCAACTGCACAATATCATACGCAAGGTTCGATTTTTCTGCCTCCACGAACGGATCAGAGAACGCTCGGCCATGGAATCTTTTAAATCCTTGGACTGTGTTTTTTGCATTGGAGATTACCTAAGCCAAAGCATATCAAACACAAATATTACATTTTATTTTAACTGTCTCAGACAAATGACATCGTCTTACCTACCAAGTTTCCTTACTGGTTTCGGCTTTCATCAGACAACAAGTACTTTGCCTGGTGCTCAGCAGCATGCCAAACGAGCACTCGGATCTGCATGGGTGCCTGGTGGCAATGCTGAGGAACAGCCCAGCTCTTCCTACTTTTCCACAAACCCAGGCCAGTAATATTTAACTAAGTGTTTTCTCTTCCTAAAACTCCTCGTAACACAAAATTCGTAACACCACCAAGATGTTACAGGCGATGAGCCCACGGAAGTTTCTCCAGCCACGACAAAGCATAAAGTACAAGAACAAATGGAAAGGGCAAGTTTTACAGAAACAGAGGCTGAGAAAGTAGGGGAAAGCACCTGGGAGAGCAGCCAGGAGAGCTCCTGCAGCAGGAGAACCCGCCTCATGAGACACTCATGGTAAGCAACACTTTCTTCTTAAGAAACTTGGCCTAACACTGCCCTTAATGAATAGGCTTCTGACAATTACTCAAAGCGCATGGTTTAAACTTTCCAGGAACCAAAGTTAACACATAACAATTCACAAACCATAGTTGGGTCTAGCAAAGTAGCCCAGTGGCTAAAGTCCTCTCACTGCATGTGCCAGGATCCCACATGGACGCCAGTTCGTGTTCCAGCTGCTCCACTTCTGTTCAGCTCCCTGCTTGTGGCCTGGAAAATCGGTAAAGGACGGCCCAAATCCTCAGGACCCTGCACCCACATGGGAGATTCAGAAGAAGTTCCTGGATCCCGGCTTTGGATCGCCAATTGGGAAGTGAAAATCTTTCTACCTCTCTTTCTCTCTGTAAATCTGATCTTCCAATAAAAAAAAATTGTAGTTAAATAATTTGTCCACAAATGTAGAAGGGCATTGTGACTCTAGAAGGTCAAGATTACAATTAATTGGATAACATTTGTATGAGAACAACTGGATGAATACCATCTGTGTGACTGATTGAACATCATCTGTATGAGAACGAGTGGATGGCATGTGAATGAAAACACCTGGTGGAATATACAAAACAAGAGTCCCAAACCAAGTATAGAAACAGTTGATGGGTTTTGTTGATAAGCTCAATACCTCTTCCCTTGCCTCTTATGACCCTCAGTGTATGAAGTAGGATGTCACCAATAAGGCATCAGTAGAGTCCACACGTGTTATTATTGGCTCCGTCCACCAAGTCCATTGCTGCAGGACAGCGACACACAAACAAACAAAAAAAATGTCCTACCGAAGTACACAAAGATAGTGCTGGCATTGTGACACAGCAAGTTAAGCCCTACCTCCAACACTGGCATCTCATATGGGCACCATTTCAAGACCTGGCCACTCTATTCTAATCCATCTTCCATGAACAAGCCTTGAAAGGCATCAGGAAATTTCCCAAGCGCTTTGGCCATAAACTCTGTAGCCAGTTGGGGATTGAATCAGTGGATCAAGAACCCGAGTGGGCCCTGCACGGTGGCACAGTGGTTAAGGTCCCCGCCTTGCACGCCCAGGATCCCATATGGGCGCCAGTTCTATCCCAGCAGCCCTGCTTCCCTTCCAGCTCCCTGCCTGTGGCCCGGGAAAGCAGTCGAGGACAGCCCAAAGCTTTGGGACCCTGCACCCGCGTGGGAGACCCAGAAGAGGCTCCTGGCTTCGGATTGGCATAGCACTGGCTGTTGCACTCACTTGGGGAGTGAATCATCAGACGGAAGATCTTCCTGTCTCTCCTCTCTATATCCGCCTTTCCAATAAAAAAAAAAAATAAAAATAAATCTTTAAAAAAAAAAGAACCCGAGTGTCTGTCCTCTATCTGCAATTCTGCCTTCCAAATAGTTATTTTAAAAAAAAAAGAAAAGAAAAGTGCAGTAAGCTAATCCTCCACCTCAGGCACCAGCATTCCATATGGATACCAGTTCTAATGCTGGTAGCTCAATTTCCAATCCAGTTCCCGGATTATGGCCTGAGAAAGTAGCAGAGGATGGCCCAAAACCTTGAATCCCTGCACCCACAATGGAAGACCGAGAAGTTTCTGGCTCATGGCTGCAAAGCAACTCAACTTTTTTTTGTGGCCACACTGAGGGGTGAGTCAGTAGGCAGAGGGCTCCTTTCCCTGTCTGTGCCACTCTGTAAAACTGCCTTCAACTACAAGTAAATCTTTGAAAAAAGAAAAGTACAAGAGGTGAATGGACAGCAACACAAGACTGGAAACACCCTGGGTGGGTTTTCAGAATTACAAAATTTCTAATACGATATGATCTCAGGTGTTTTTTGTTTTGTTTTGTTTTGAGGTGTGATGATTAAATTGGCTAAGGACCCCCTTTAAAATATCAGGATCTGGGCTCGGTGGTGTGGCCTAGCTGCTATAGTTCTCACCTTGAAAGCACCAGGATCCCATATGGGCACTGGTTCTAATCCCAGCAGCTCCACTTCCCATCCAGCTCCCTGCTTGTGGCCTGGGAAAGCAGTCAAGGACAGCCCAAAGCCTTGGGACCCTGCACCCATGTGGGAGACCCGGAAGAAGTTCCTGGATCCTGGCTTCAGATCAGCATAGCATCGGCTACTGCGCTCACTTGGGGAATGAATCATTGGATGGAATATCTTCCTCTCTGTCTCTCCTTCTCTCTGTATATCTGACTTTCCAATAAATAAATAAATCTTTAAAAAAACAAAAAATATATCAGGATCCCATCTGGGCACCATTTCATTTCCTGGCTGCTCCACTTCCCACACAGCTCCCTGCTTGTGGCCTGGGAAAGCAGTACAGTATGGTCCCAAGTCTTGAGACTCTGTACCCACATGGGAGACCTGAAAGAAGCTTGTGGTTCCTAGTTTAGGATCAGTTCAGCTTTGAGCATTGTAGGGAGTAAAACCACCCGACTAAAGACCTTTCTCTGTTTTTCCTCTCTGTAAATCTGCCATTCCAATAAAAATAAATCATTTTTTAAAAAGTTAATTTTTGGGCCCAGCACGATAGCCTAGAGACTAAGGTCCTTGCCTTGCACACATTGGGATCCTATTGAGGTACGGGTGCGTGTCCTAACTATCCAACTTCCCATCCAGCTCCATGTTTGTGGCCTAGGAAAAACAGGCAAGGAAGGCCCAAAGACTTGGGACCCTGTACCCGCACGGGAGATCCAGAAGAAGGTCCTAAAGCTCCTGGCTTCTAATCTGCTCAGCTCCAGCTGCTGCAGCCACTTGGGGAGTGGACCAGTGGATGGAAGATCTTTCTTTCTCTCTGAATCCTGACTTTCCAATCTAAATCAATGAATCAATCAAGCTTTAAAGATTTGCAGGCTCCTCTGCCCATAGCCAGAGCTGTAAGAGAACTGCACACCAGCAATGAGAGCTCCTCTGAGGCGAGGCAGACACAGCAGTCGTGCTGGGAGCCAAGGGAGAGGTCCAGAGCGGGCGTGCAGGAGTGAAACCGCCAGGAAGGAACTGTAGCCCAAGAACCTGGGAACCTTGTCCTGCCTGGCAGGTTAGTGCAGTAACTGTTCTCAATAAGAATGCCAAGTTCAGAAAGAAAAATGTACTATACTATAGTCAAGAGACATTTCAAAGTAGGCCTGCATTTACCAACTACCACTTTCTTAAAGCAGTTTCAACATTCTCAAAGGAAAACTATAAACAACAAATTTAATTAAAAATCAGTCAAGCATGACTTCTGCAGAGATTCAAATAATAGGTCCTGCCCAGGGCAGAATCAAAAAAATGCAACACCCACCTCCTTCATTCTACAGATACCACAGACACCCCAGCAGACAAGACTCCTACTGCAAAAAGTCCATGGAAAACAGAACCAAAAGGCCAAGTTCACTCAAAGTGCCAACATTTTTGAAATTCAGATCTAGGGCCCGGCACAACAGCCTAGCAGCTAAAGTCCTCGTCTTGAACGCCCCGGGATCCCATATGGGCGCCGGTTCTGGTCCTGGCGGCTCCACCTCCCATCCAGCTCCCTCTTTGTGGCCTGGGAAAGCAGTTGAAGACGGCCCAGTGTCTTGGGACCCTGCACCCGTGTGGGAGACCTGGAAGAAGTTCCTGGCCCCTGGTTTCGGGTTGGCGCAGCACCAACTGTTGCATTCACTTGGGGAGTGAATCATTAGATGGAAGATTTCCTCTCTGTCTCTCCTTCCTCTCTGTACATCTGACTTTGTAATGAAAATAAAATAAGTCTTCAAAAAAAAAAAGAAATTAAGATCTATTTTTTATCACAATATACATTTTCCATTAGTTTATAAGGACACTTCCTAAATAGGATCTCAATAATTTTTTTATACCAAAAATTAACTTTTCTGTTGTTTTTAATATCAACTTTTTGAAGGGCCCTCAAATGTCAGGCTCTGGTTTAACATAAATCCTTTAACCTTTTTCCACAACAGTGTTTCTCTTCGGAAATGTAGATGAACAGACACTAAACACAAACAAGAGGAAAGGTCCAAGCAGACAGACTGCAAGCAGCAAAGATGGAGGAGGCTTTGATTCCCAAATGGAGGCGCTGCTACTGCTGTGGGTATGCTAACTACTGCTCACTCAAGCACGTGTGAACAAAGATCGGGTCTCTGAGCTGTACACCAGGCCCTGCCTCTGTGAAGCACAAATAAACATACGACCAGTTGCTGAAAACATGGCTGCACAAACCAGAAAAATAAGACATTTTGGGAAAAAAGAAAACAAAACCCTACCTGGCTTTTAGCTGCTGCTCCAATTGAACGATTCTTAGGACCAAAGGAAATGCAAGCCCTAGAAGATAAAAAGAACCTGTAAGAATCAAACCGTGTTGCAGTATTATTACACACAAAACCATAGCACACATCATTCTGAAGTCAGAGATTGCATAGTACTTGGCACACCGTTTTTGCCCGACTCTCCACGGAAGGAAATACCTCTATGACATCATAACCGCCTGTGGAAGAGGAAGGAGATTAACCAATTATCACCACATTGTAATTCTCCCCAAGTCACGTCACCAACAATACAGCCCACAAATCTTGAAAAACAATTCTGGCCCGAATGCATGTAAGAATTTTTTTTAGAATGAGCTCCCAAGGACTCAATTTCTGACAAGGAGCTTCACTTCCACTTGGAACATACTTTTCTAAACCAGTTCTTACACTGTCTGCTGCTTTCATGTCATCATTGTTCCTTCTAGACGGCAAAAACTGAAACCCTTCTGAAGATCAAAACTCTGCCTTTAAACTTGAAAGGTCAGGGCTCAGCATCTAAAGTCCTCGCCTTGAATGCACCGGGATCCCATATGGGCGCTGGTTCTAATCCCGGCAGCCCCGCTTCCCATCCCGCTCCCTGCCTGTGGCCTGGGAAAGCAGTCGAGGACGGCCCAGAGCCTTGGGACCCTGCACCCGTGTGGGAGACCCTTAAGAGCTCCTGGCTTCTGGTTTCAGATCGGTGCAGTACCAGCCGTTCTGGTCACCTAGGGAGTGAATCATCGAACAAAAGATCTTTCTCTCTCTCTGTCCTCCTCTCTACATATTTGACTTTCCAATAAAAATAAATAAATCTTTAAGAAAGAGAGAAAAAAACTTGAAAGGTCAGTAGTTGTATTGGAGCTGATGTTTTTACTAAGCATAACCCCATGTTTGCCTCTATGCTTTTCACTGCAACCCCTGCAGAACCTTGGCCTATGTTCTTTGACTCAGCATTTGTCACCTCTTTCCAGTAGATGCTTTACCCCAACCTAAAATAGCATCAAATTTTACCCACAACACCCAAAAAATCCTGAAAGTTAAAACTTGCCAGGGTCTACACTTCTTTCTTCAGGGTGACACCAAGTGCTTCTATGAATCAAACTCCCAGAGCATCCTGTCTGCATATCTCCTACAGGACAGGAGAGTAACCGTAAAAGCATTAACAAATAAACTTACTCAGGGCCATTGAACCCTGAAGTGGCGGTGGAGGACTAGATCGTGTCTGTTGCTCCACTCCAGTTCTGACCCCCTCATCCTCCAAATTCCTTGACCAGCGGAGTAAGGGCAAGGCTTTGGTCCAAATATGACGACACATGAGGTGACCTGTCCCCTTGGTTACTTAACTTCAATCAACTTTGTGCAAATTTATAAAAGGCTAGATCTCTCTAGACCTTACAAATCCTTTCTAACTACTGTGAGTCAATTTCCCAAGCAGCTATAGCAGAGGTGCTCTGAGCTAACTGAAGCGTAGCGCACAGCACAGCCCGAAACCTCTTCAGCCTGTCAGTCTCCTAAGCTCTTGGGGCCTACTAAGTGCTGGGGTAGCGACTTAGCAGTGTGACAGGCACCATGACACAACAAGCTACAGCCGTGCTTGGGACACCCACATCCACCACGGGAGCTGTAGTGTAAGCAGGTACCAGCACCAGTTGATGCAGCAGTGACAGTCACCACGTGGAAGTCACAGCAGGAGCTCCTCACCCCCTTAGCGGTTAGGGAGTGTATCAGCAGGTGGAAGGCTGTCTCCCTGTGCCTTTCAATGCACGTTAAAAGAAAAAAAGTGGGGGATGGGGGGCACAGGTGCCAGACAAGGTATATAAAATACATACATGCTACCAATCACAAAAGTATGTAAAACCAGGGCTGACGTGATGGTGTAGCTAATCCTTTGCTGCAGTGCTGACATCCCATATGAGCTCTATGGGCCCCCACACCCATGGGAGACCCGACAAGAAGCTGCTGCCTCCTGGCTTCACACTGGCTCGCTCAGCTCCAGCCACGGTGGCCATGTGGAGAGTACATGAAGACCTGTCTCTCCCACTCCCTGTAATATCTGCCTCTCAAATAAAGATACAGCTTTAAAAAAATAAATTAAGTAGAACCTCCTGATACCATTTGTCCCTCCTATTACAGTCCGTATTACTCTGGAGCAACTTTCCAAGGCACCCTTATCCATCCAACTGACTGGCCTCACTCTAAAAAGCCACAGGGCCAGGCTGGGTCTGGGCCAGGCCAAAGCTAGGGGCTAGAACCACTTCTTTGTTTCCGCTGTGGGTGCAGGGTCACAAGCACCAGCCGCCCTCTGCAGCTCGCCCTTGCTCAGCAGCAGGGAGGACCAAAGTGGAGCAGCCGGGACTCCTACAGGTGCATAGAGTGGAGAGGGGATCAGCAGGAAGAATCTTTCTCCACCACAACACTGTGTCAGCTCCTATCTGTAAGGTTGCTGGAAATCGAATCTAAAATATACATTTAGAAAGCTTGTGCCAGACACTGGCACATAATAATTGGCAAAAATGTACTGCTTCCAGGAAGACAAGATGGCAGAGGTAGAGCAGAAGAAGCGGGCGTCCCACAAGTTCACATACTGCGTGTGGACCTCGACCAGCTGCTCGACATGTCCTACAAGCAGCTCATGCAGCTGTACAGTGCCTGCGCAGGAAGCAGCACTCATTGCTCAAGTGGCTGAGCAAGGCCAAAAAGGAGGCCCTGCCCATGGAGAAGCCCGAGGTGGTGGGCAGCCTGGCGGGCGTGTACAACGGCAAGACGTCAACCAGGTAGAGATAAAGCCCGAGATGATTTGCCACTATGTGGGCGAGTTCTCCATCACCTACAAGCTGGTGAAGCACGGCTGGCCCAGCATCAGCGCTACCCACTCCTCATGCTTCATCCCCTTCAAGTAGCCCAATAAAGGGGCAACTGCTGCCCACACGGCAAAAAAAAAAAGAAGCATTATTACAGCTGCAATTAAGCCATGCTCTAGGTTTCATACAGAAAAATACCAACTGGGCCTGGTTTGGTGGCTCACAGGTTAATCCTTTACCTGTAAGCACAGCATCCCATATGGGCACTGGTTCATGTCGCAGCTGCTCCACTTGCAATCCAGTTCCCTGCTTATAGCCTGAGAAAGCAGTGGAGGATGGCTCAAGTACCTGAGGCCATGTACCCATGCGGGAGATCTGGAAGAGGCTCCTAACCTAAGATCAGCTCTAGCAGGTGCAGCCATCTGGGGGAAAATACGTCCTTCTCTCTGTAAATCTGCCTTTCCAACAAAAATAAATAAATCTTAAAAAAAAAGAGGGGGTTAAGTGTAAAGGCTCAATGGCTAAATGCTCACATTACAAGCACCAGCCCCACATATAGGGGCATGTTTGTGTCTCAGCTGCCCCACTCCCCCATCAACTCCCTGCTTATGGCCTAGAATAGCAGAAGTCAGCCCAAGTCCTTAGGACCTTGCACCTGTGTGGGAGATCCAAAAGAAGCTCCTGGCTCCAGACTGCATTACCTCAGCTCCAGCCACGGTGGCCATCTGGGAGTGAACCAGCAGATGGAAGCTCTTTCTCGCTCTCTCTCTGTAAATCCGCATTGCCAATAAGTAAATTTTTTAAAAAGTTGTCCAAGGGAATGCACCATCTTCCACTGAAGATCCAGTTACCATCTTTAAAATTATTTAATGTCTACTATTAAGGAAGACAGCTGAACGGTAATTTTGCTAGGCCAAATCAACATGGCAAAACACGCACAGAAGGGTTTTGAAAGCTAAAAAACTAAAAAAATTTACACAAACAAACCTAGTATTTAACTCTCAGGGCCAGCACTAGAGTAACTCATTTCTTTCTGGTGCAAGTTCAATACAAAAGCCACGGGAACAATGAAGCAGATGAAGAACACAGTCACTGTGCGCCCCCTCCGCCACCGCTGTGCGCCCCCTCCACCTCCAAGGGTCACTACGCACAGGCAGCTAGACACTCCTATGCCATCCTACTAAGGGAAGCGAAATTCCCTATTCCGTTTTTTCCTTCTCCATCAATTTCTGCAAAGCTGTCTGAAGTGGAATTATTCCCTTGGGAATCTCTTCTTCCAACAAGGCAATCTAAAGGAAACACGACAGTTTCCAGAGTCAAGCACATGGAGGTTTCTGGAGGTGGTGGTCTCAGAGCAGGCTTGAGCTCCACGTCCCTCCCTGAAACCCTGGTCCCTGCAGAGTCACAACAGACGCACAGAAACAAGCTGCCCTGAGGCCTGTGGCTCTGCCACGTGGCAAGCGACGGACAAAGGGGCCAGCAGAGCTGTGGGGGAGACGCAGCCCTGCCTCCGAGTCCTCGCCTTCCCTTCAGTGACAGCAGTGAGGTCAAACACTCCTGTACGGGTTTGTAAACAGCACAGCTCACAGGATGGAAGCTCTCGGCATTTTTCAATTGGACCTACGTGAAACCAGATGAACCAGACCTGAGAAATTTTTCCTTAAAGCAATCAGCCCCTTTATGAATCATTGCAGGTAACAGAGTACTTTGTACATACAAAGTTATGCTAAGTAATCAATTTTTGGGGTAAGCTCCGACTGTCCCATTCCTGTACAGCTCCCGACTAACGTGCCCAGGACAGCGGAGGACAGCGGAGGACAGAGGAGGACAGCTCACGTGTTTAGCGCTCTGTCACCCACATCAACTCCAGGCACAGACCTTCCACCCGGCCCAGTCCCAGCCACTGGGCCATTTCGCCATTTCGGAAATGAACCAGTGAGTGGACAATACATCTCTGTCTTCTAAATAAATACGTATTTTTAAAATTAATTATGATCTAAGTGATTTTAAATCAATGAGAACATGGAGAGGCCAGCTTTGGTCTTCTATGGTGTCCTTAGCCAGCTGCACAGGGGGCAGGATTAAATGCTGACAAGTTTTCTTCTATTAGACCCTGTGAGCTGAGAGTTCCTCAGTGACAAAGCGCAGCTGCTTTAAAGACTGGGCCGCTTTGTTTCTGTGGATTTATGCTTCTTCATTTCACACCTTCAATGTCCCTAATAAATCCACTTCAACT